GAAGTGATGCTCACGTTGTTGCATGCACAACTGTGCTCTTCTTATTAAATTGCTACGAACATTTTCCAATGTGTTATTTTGCAGTTTCAATGTTGCGAACGCTATAATAATTTTTTCTTTTAATTGTTCAACGTTCGCTGTGTCGCTAGAATACACCATAAATTTAACATGACCCCATAAGTAAAAATCCAGCGGTGACAGGTCCGGAGATCGTGGTGGCCAAAGATATTCTTCCATTGCAACCGATCTAATTAGTTTTCGTTTAAAAAATTTCTCGCTACACGACTGAAATGCGATGAAATTAAATTTCTTCGGATTTCAAGAGGAATGTCTTCCAATAATTGAGCTGAATCTTGATCAAGCGCACGCGTGTACTCGATAAACATTCAAAGCTATTTTTCTCGGGAAGACAAAGCTTCGTACGAGAAACTTTTATTCTGTATTTTTCATTCAATTTTTCACGTAGAATCATCATCCTCTCGCTTGTACCATCAGTTACATGACACGCTGTGTACAAACTGCTCGGTTAATACGGAGACCTCGATTATCCAGATTCAAGTTTTCCTTCTTCTCGCAACACTTGGAAAGAAATTTATTAGAAACTCGATCCAACCGGGATCTTGATACCCAACGACGTAATAATTAACTTGTCGCCTGCCGAGGCGATAATGTTCGATGCACGCAACGTGGCCTCGTTATCTGTGTAAAGTTGCTTCTGCCGCGAGTATAAAAACCGAAACCAGTAGTGAAGCGATCGATCTTCGAAATAGACCGCAACTGGTCACATTTTAATGCGCCGTGGGACGTTGCCAAGCAACGCGAAACTTTGGCATTCGACATTCGAATACTCGCGATCGAACGTTTCAATTCGAATCTCGAGCGGGCGAGCAACCGTGTACTCTGTGGATCGCGCCCCGTTCTTCGAGGAATCCGACAATCAGGGATAATATTCCAGGGATGAATCGACGAGAAGGAAGAAACCGAAGGGCAGCTGAGTAGTCCGCTTGTACGTAGGTTGTAGCAGGCATACGAGGAGGAGTTTGGAGGAAGAGTGGCAGGCCGAGCGTACGAGGCAAGTACAGCAGGGGAAGAAGTTGAAGAAGAATCGAAACGAGTCGCGTTCCTCGAGCGAAGGGCAGCCGGGGTCGCGTTCGCAGACAGAGACATCGCCGTCACGTCGGCCAGAAATCACGGCCCCGTGCGTCGGGGAAAATTCGCTCGGCAATTGTTTATATTGAAATACGCTCGTGTTGGAATGCTGGGAAATGTATGGACCGCGGCGTCCCCGCGTCGCGCGTGAATCCGTTTTGAAACGTCGAACATCGTCGGAGACTTACCTTTGATTTGTTGAGGGATGATGGGAATTGGGGCGGGTGGGGGAATCCCATGACTTACCTTACCCCCGTTGTGTTGCCGACGATATTGCTCCTTTTCGTCGTGTTACGATGGTTGGACGCGTTTTCGATTAAACGTGCGAAAAACTCTGTAATTCTTGACATATATATTTCTTTACATTCATACGTATAATCGTGTTTATATTCGCGCTTACGTTTGTAATCGTATTTATATTTGTATTTTATATATATATATATATATACACACACACATATATATATGTATATGTGTATATATATATACATATTAATTATATACACATTTTTATACAAAAATTTTCTCGCGCCTTTATACATGTAACTATGTGCTACATAGATGTCACTTCGGTCTACGTACACTCAACCGCAACGCAATTCGTGCTCGGTATATAATACATTCCCTTAGCTTCCCGCGAGATAAATTGCGTTCGACGAAGCGAACCCAGCGAATCCACTGGCTCTGAGTAAAAAGGTTCTCTCTCGGAAGCTCGCGCGCGAGTACCTCGGTCCGATCCGATTCTCGCCTCGACCGCGTTCGCTTCGTGGATTTTCTCAACGGGGACGCGCTACTGTTTCGCTCTTTGTGTATTATGCGTGTGTACGCGTTTGTATGTGTGTCTGTGTATGTGTGTCTGTGTATGTGTGTGTGTATCTGTGTCCGCAGGCGCGTCGCACTTAAGAAACGATCGCAGCTTAAAAATACTAGAAATATCCCATATACCCCTAAAATGGTTGTGTCTAAGTAACTAGTTCGACCTCGGCCACGTTATACGTACATACATAAACGCGTGGCGCTCGCGCCCGATTGTTTCGCATGGTTTCAAACAATTTTTATCGGTCGCCAATGCTTCTGTACAAACGGGCCACCGGGGGCCCGGCTATCGTACAGTATTTATAACGTAGAAAAAGCACCGTGTGTTGAGAGGCCCGATCGCAATTTCGACGTGACGCGCGTATCACATTGCGTTCTGCCGAGTTTTCCCCGCAATCGTCTATGTAAATAACCTGTCGCCGCTCTCGCGATATTCCTTCACAACGACGGTGGCGACCGCCGATCGGTCGAACGTATTTGCCACAGAAAAATATAATTCGTTCGCTTTCTCTCGGCTGGCCGCGTCGTGCCCGGAGATAGATAATTCGCGTTCTTCCACCGCGAAACTCGGCGATCGGTCGGAAGGCAGACGCGATTCGATCTCTCCCTCACCTCGTCTCGCAGTCGGGATTATCCTCGAATCGATTACGCGAGTTTTCGAAGATGAATCGCTGTTCTTTTTGTTTTTCTTTTTTTTTTTTTTTTTCTTCTTTTTCTTTTCTCGACACGTTTGAAACGGAGCACGTGTCGAGAAAACACGACTGAATTCGCAAACGCAGTATCGCAAGACGACGATGAACACACGCCGGGTGGCTGACGTTCGAAAGAGAAGAGAAACGGCGAAGTTTCGAGATCCTCCGAGGGAAAGATATACCACTCCTCTCAATTCCTCCAAATTTCGTTGCCTCGTGGTGAATTTCGGCGTGAAACGCGAACGTGAGAGAGACGATGGTAAAAAGAACGTCGAGTTTCGACGAGTGACTAAGGGTTTCGGCCATGACTCGACCAACGGCAATTACTCGACGCGAAGATGAACGCGAGATAGCCAGCGGGGGATCCATCAGATCGCCCACCGTCGATCACGAATGCTAATTTACGATTTCTTTCCCATTTCGCGTTTTCTACGTCTCAGCTTCACCTCGTTTTCTACCGAACGATTTCTCGGTCTCTTCGTCGCCGGGCAGCGCGATGGAATCCCAAAGAGACGCGCGAGTTCGTGCCCGTGTTGTGTCTGCCTGGAAAGATCTCGGAACGCGAACCACCGACGATGCTCGGATGGGAAAAAAACCCAGCCCCTTTCGAACGCCTCTTGCCGTTTGTCCCTCAGTCTCCTCCTGTTTCCTCGTGATACGCGTCTTTTCGTTCAATGACTCGTATCAAGCTACGATGTTTCGCAACGCTGAACGGAGTAAGCGACAACGACGACGTTGCTCCTCGGTTCGCGAAGGAGACTAAGGCGTGAGGAGGAGGGGGGGGGGGCGTGCACATTACACGGAGGCTAGTTGTCGCCAGACAGAATGTCACATCGTGGACATGTACGGCCAGTTGAAGCTGCTACCGCTTAGCAGCATGTCCCTGATCAGCGTCTCGATCGGCGTTTTCCCGACCAGCCGGACGAAGAACAGCTGCTCGATCACCTGCGACGACACCGTTCTCAGCGAGGGCAGTCGCAGCAGCAGCTTGCCGAATCTCGTCGGCTGATTCGGATACTGGGTCCTGCAGTACTCCTCCAGGGCGCACTGCGACTTCTCCTGAAGCGACTCGATGTGCGCCACGTCCGACAGCCCGCACGCGTCTGAAACAGAGAAAGGGTACGGAGATCTGGTTAGAAGACGAACGCGAGAGCCAGTGGTATTTTATCGTGGTGGGTTAGGTTTGGGTAGGTGTCGTCGGCGTCGGCGTCGACGTCGACGTCGACGAGCGATTTAACGCGGGTGGACGAGTTCGCTGCGAGAGCCAGCCTCGGGCAAGCAGACACGCAGTCGAATGAGAGCCAGCGCGGCGGAGTATTCGTCCCGTTGGAATGCGTGCCAACTAAGAGAGATGTAGCCCGTGCGAACGTCGGACTAATCACGCGCGGGCGACGGTGTTCCCTTGATTCTCCACCCTTCCGCGCGTTGGGGAAACCGAGCCGCGCTTTACGCGCCACCATTGTTTCGTTTCCCTCCGTCCGGAAAATTCGCCCTCGATGCGACGCGCGTTGCGAATCCCTCTTCTCGTCGAAGCGTGCAGAACTTCCGAAAAATCGGCCAACCTGCCTTATTATTTTATCGACTTTGTCGCGAGTCTGGCGCTTGCGACGCTTGATTGCCTGGACGTTTGAACGAACGCTCGATCGTTAGTAGATTCGTTTGAAGTAACAGACACGGTACGAGTACGAGCACGAATTTGGAATTTGGGACGAAGGAGTTATTTTAATGTTTAGTTTAACGATACTTCAACGTTGACTGCCACTTTGGTCATTTGTGTGACTTGAGCTTCAAAGTAAGATAAAACGAATGTCGTCAACTGAATAATTTTGAACGTCATAGTTGACCAGGCAATATTATGAAATTAAATATTAACAATTTTAACTAAAATATTGTATTATAACATAAATATATAAATGTTATATTAATATTCAACTAAAATATTATATTACAATA